TCCACCGAAAATCTGGTATTAACCGGGTTCCAAGCTTTCGAGCCATACGACTACATACTTAATAAATATTGCATATTATGAACTCACATTTTTGGTAGAAAGCAATCAGCGCCTTGGAAATGGCCTGACGGATAGCATAGATTTGTGCAACATGACCACCACCGCTAACACGCACACGAATGTCTACGCCAGCGAATTTTTCCTGCAAAAAGAGTAAATATCCGTAAATATTTGATGCAAAACTAACATAAAATTATAATTTACAAACGCCATCAGTTTAATAACTATTTTCATTTGGTTCAATTTCGGGATAAGTCGAACTCATCACGTATTGCGGCGCTTGTTAAGCGCAACGTCACATCCCTGCATCACAAACAACTCACCTTGCCCAACAGCAAAAGTGGTTCCTGCAATTTGTATTGCAGCACTTTAGGTTCAATTTGTTCCAAAGGACGGCCATTCACCCTCAAGAGACCACGTCCACGCTTGCAGTAAGCAACAGCAGTGGCGGTTTTCTGCAATAATAGAAATTTTCAATTAGTACTTTTCCCCAATGGGCAGCGTTCGGCACGTGTATCACGGCAGACTCAATACTTGATTGTTCACTCTAGCTTACCTTGCGTCCGAAAACTTGCACGGCGTGCACGGGTTCTCTGCGCTGCAATTTAAGAAAACGATAAAGGTTAATCCAATTGCCACAAATAAAATTTTATAAGCAAACTTACTTTTTGCTGCATACTTGCTCAAGCAACTTTGTGAAAAAGACCGGAAACGGCCATAACGCCTCTGAACAGTAACTTAACGAAACCAAATGTCAAAATGTTGAAATGGCCTGCTTGGGTGACCTCTGACGGTAATTTCACTGAAAACTTAGTGCGTTCTCTTTGTCACCCGGTGCCTTCTGTCAAAGCCGAAAGTTGCACTAATTTCTGTGAAAAAATTTGCCATTTTGGAGTAGTTGAGTTTCGGGCGCGACATTTTCTTGTTTTTCATTTAATTTTAGTGAGATTAGAAGCTTAAAACATTTATAAAGTTGTAAATTAATAGTGCTTGAACGCATTTCAACCAAATTTCACTCGCTTAAAGATGTCCAGTGGGCGTGAAGAAGGCGAAATCGATTCGGAGGAGGATGGTCTGCGAAAACGTATCAACGAACTGGAGGAAGAGAATGCAGAATATGAAAAAATTAAAAGAATTTCGGAATGCTATGCGTACAAATATGGTAAGTGTATGTACACACATTTGTAGAGATTGCATCCTTTAGATTATTGAGCCTGATTCCAAGTTGGGCTTTAATCTCACAATGCATTTTTCGCAAAGCCTTTAAGCACGCAGTAACAGATATGATTTTACGTACATAATATCAAGCTTTCATGCGCACATATATGTACATACATATGTATGAAGTGCATGCATGTATGAAGTATGAAGTCATGTGTAGTAAGCATATTCCCAAGATTGAAATTCTAGCTTTTAACCCAAATTGTCCCAGATAAATTTTTTTTTCGATTTTTTGGCTTCTATATACAGGCGCAGGTGAATCAAAAGTTGAACGAAAGTAGGCAGCCGACCAATTTCATTGAAAGCGATTGTTGAAAGGCCGTTTACACCAGGCGATTGTTGCTTTCAACTAAAAATCGCCTGAAAAATCGCCTCATGTAAATTCCCTATAAAGGAAAAAACGTGACTAAAACTTTGGGAGTAGTATAGTTCCTCCGATTTCGGCCGTAATAGATTGGCTTTTACACATATATTAGTGTTTGGCCGAGCTTCTCCTCCGATTTGTGGCGTGCGCGTTATATTTTCACACAAAGTGGAGGGACCTACAGTTCTACGCCGACTCTGAACGGCGATTGTATTTTTATGAGAAGCTTTTTTCATGGCAGAAATACACGGAGGTTTGCCATTGCCTGCCGAGGGGCGACCGCTGTTAAGAAAAACCCTTTTTTCTAAATTTTTTTGCGATGTTGCTTTTACCAGGGCTTGAACCCAGGCGCTGCGGAGTGGATGCGCGCACTGCTTACCACTACACGACAGCGGCAGACAATATTTGGTTAAAATGTAAAATAATATAATATAAATACACATGGGCGTAGCCAGGTAGGGGCAGGGGGGTGCTCGAGCCCCCACCTAACCTTCAAAATTTCCTTATATATATATAAAATAGTACCCTGAAATGCTAGCTTAATAGGGTCGAAATAAAGACCACACAAAGTATTTGGAAGTAGTCGTGGATAGTAAACAGCTGTGGAAGCGCAATGTTGAGTAAAGGGTGAAGAAGGCCATTAGCGCCCTTAATGCATGTAAAATAATGCTGGGAGTCATTTGGCGCCATTCACCTGCCCTGGTGCTACACAGCAATAGTCAGACCAATATGGTGAGGTGGAATTCCGAAAGAAAGTCCTCATACCTGGGGCCGATTGAAAAGTTTCAGCGCGTCGCAGCACTGGGCCATAGAAAGATTGCAGAGTTATTACCGTATTGCTTACGAGGTATATCCTGGTTGCTTCTCCTGCACAAAAAATTGGTATCATTAGCGTGGACAAGTGCAGGGAGTGACGTGAGTGGGAGACCAGGGAAATGTTGAAGCATCTACTCGGTCGACTGTCAGGAAGAGGATTAAAATGCTTGGGAGCCCACCATTTCGAGAAATTAGAGGACATTTTAAAAGTAAATTAGAAATTTCTACTGAAATTCGCAAAAAGCGTTGACATCCTTTGTGATGTATTGTTTAACGCGTAAGAACGAGCTCCAACTGGTAACACTACGGGTCTATGTGCGGCTCAGCGAAGGCCAGATTAAGCTAAGGTAGTAATTAGTTAACGTACATATACATAAACATTTCTAAGTAAACGGTTTT